GTTTCTAGTAGTAAGGCCAGGAGCCCCTAGTAGCGTCCTTGCTCCTACTAGCGATGCCCGGGTTCCCTGGTAGCTTCCTCTTGTTACTAGTAGTAAGGCCACCAGCCCCTAGTGGCGTCCTTGCTCCTAGTAGCGATGCCCGGGTTCCCTTGCTAGTAGTAAGGCCACCAGCCCCTAGTGGCGTCCTTGCTCCTAGTAGCGATGCCCAGGTTCCCTAGTAGCGTCCTCTTGTTACTAGTAGTAAGGCCACCAGCCCCTAGTGGCGTCCTTGCTCCTAGTAGCGATGCCCGGGTTCCCTAGTAGCGTCCTCTTGTTGCTCGTAGTACGGCCAGGAGCCCCTACTAGCGTCCTCTTGTTACTAGTAGCAAGGCCAGGAGCCCCTAGTAGCTTCTTGCTAGTAGTAGCGATGCCCTTTGTTACAGTATCTTCATGTCGATGAACCACGGGTAGATGAAACCCAGACCGTCTACGTCGTCTTCCGGAGTTCTTCGTCCCACACTGACGGTTGAGTACCATGCAACATGGATGTCTCATTGCTTTCTGTATGCTTTCACAGAGTCAAACCAGTCAGGCCGCTGAGTCCCGGGATCCGTACCCAATCTAAAGCTTCGTCCACGGTCTTCCTGAGGTCGTTAATTAGGCGGTTGGGCGACTTCCAGAAGCATGTGTGTAACAGACATGTGTTCGGTCTGTTTTGCGGCTACACGTCGATTTACCAGTCAAGCTTGTGCTAGGTGTACATAGGACAGAGTTGGAGTTGGTGATAGTTAGCGTCAATGCTGAGATTTGCATGCGACCACATTCTTGCAACTTTAAAGCAGCCGAGCAGCAAATAATGAATCTCAACTCCCTCCAATGACTTTGCAGGAATGTCCTGGCGGCTTGGAGTGCAAACTGCCCTGTTGTATCCTGTTGTGTGGTATCCAGTGCTCCAAACAAGACACGCCATCTGTCAGCGGGCAGCCTCAGAAGCTAGGTGGTATTAGAATCTATTGGCGTCCAAATGCTTGCCTAGTCTCAGACTGATACTCTGCTGGCCACACAAACACGTGCATTGAGTTTTAACATGCTGGTAGAAAGGCTCTTGAACGGCTCAAAGGCCTTTGGAATTGGTATATTGAGTCTGGATATTGGTTGATACAAAACCCTTGCTCAACGAGCAACTGCCTCCACCACATGGCGCTCGTTGGCCATTGGAAGCAGCACGTGCTTCACTCCCGCACGGATTGCAGCAAGAACCTTGGACAGCCAAGGCTTTGGAACTTTGGAAGGTGTACTAGAGGATGGTTATGAGTCATGAGTTTTCCTCTGGTGTTCGATTAGCACCAGGTAGAATGGCATGAACAGTTCATTAAGTTTCTGAACTGATAGGGTATTGTACAGCAAAGATTGCTGCTGAACTTCCTTTCAGTGGCTAGTCAGTGCGTACAAGCACCAAATAGTCATAATATGCTGTGAGTATGCAGGGTGTGCCCGAGCTAAGCTGTATCAATCAATATTAACTATATAACCATTTGTTAAGTGAGACTTCCAGCACATCATTCTCTTACATCCTAACCTCCACTTGTCCCAGCCTTGTCTCGAATGCCACCCACCGGCAGGACATGACCTGAGTCTTGCTGAGGCTCAAGTCGGCATAGTTTCATTCGCAATTGCTTTTTGTCAGCTATGTTGTTGGGTGTGCCCAATAAACCTGTTAGATAAAAATAACAAAACACAAACGAATGCAAATAACCAACTAGGAGCAAGAAGCTACTAGTAGCTCCTGCCCTTACTACTAGTAACAAGAAGCGACTTGTAGCAAGAGAGCAAGGACGCTTCTAGTAATTACAGAACAGTCAACGATTCTTCCCTGATTTAATCGCTCCTTCTACGCCTGAGAAGGAAAAAATCTGTGTCAAGGCGTAACCCCCGCCTCGCAGCGTGACCTCCCCAGTCACCGCTGTATCACTACGCACTGGCCTCGCAGTTGGTGACGTACTTTAAGCCGGTGTCAGGTCACTCATTTCTCTTGACCAGAAAGGATCAAAAAAGAGAAGAGACACGTGAAAGGACGGATTTGTCATGGCTTCTCAGAAAGATTGACACAAGATGTGCGCCAGTTGACTCAAAGGAGCTTCTCTGAAAAGTCTAAAGCTCATCTGTCCCACAAAACAAGCTCACGGCCTAAATTGGCTTTCGTGAGACTGTCAATTGCGCCTGTTTAAGACCAGTGAAGCCAGCGCCAACAGGACTGCTACCCCTGCTGAAGGACCATCCTGCAACAAAGAAAACAAAAACTGTGGCCGCCCGTGGCCTATAAATGTTCTTGTCATTTCTTTTCTTTGGCTGCAGCTCAACCGACATTTTGTCTCAACTTTTGAACTGTGGAGTCTCTATGGTGCCGAGTTCTTGGAGTCACTAGAGAGTTCCTGTGATCAATGGGAACATCACCTCATTTTGCCCCCCAAAGAGTTCCAATTTCCCAGCACGCAACATGTTTTTACATGTTCCAATTTCCCCAGTCCAAGTTTGCGGAACATTCATCAGTAAACCTCCCATTTTTGCTTGGAGCATCTGGAAGTCTCCATTTTCATTCAGCATAATTGTGTTGTGTGACTGTGTGTTGGATTCTCCAATCCCGTTGGTCTTGTGATCGGTCGTCCTTTGGGATGCCACCAGCTGGGAAGTGGACATGAATGTCCTCGCCATGGAAGGGATCCCTGCGCGGAAGTGAGTCAAACCGGCGAGATGAATCCTCACGCGCCTCTCTTTTCTGAATCAGAAAAACTTGGTTTTGTTATTCACCATCGGAATGATACAGTAGGAGGTGAGCAACTATGCTGTCCAAGTAGATGTCAAACGCCAACCGGACCTGGAAAAGCACAGTAGAACACGAACTGTTGAGGGTTGCAGCTTGATTTATAGCGGTGGGAAAGCAAGCCTAGCCCACTCGTTGACTCGTGTCACTCCCAAGAGGCTCTCTTACTCAGCTCTTTGACACTCAGTGTCCTTGCTCCTAGTAGCGATGCCAGGAGCCCTTAGTAGCTTCTTGTTCCTAGTAGCAAGGCCAGGAGCCCCTAGTAGCGTCCTTGCTCCTAGTATAGTAGCTGAGGGGCGGATTTTTATGGGAAAGAAATAGAAAGAAGGAACACTGTCCTACTACCTGCCAACAAGAAGCCCGCTGAAGGGTCCTTTTTCGATTCAATGACAACAATCTCCAAATCTTGCTTGAAATGAGGCAAAGGCCGCAATCTTCAAAGGGCCACTGGATGTCACTGGCAGTATACCCTTGACTTGACTTTGGCCAACTGTTTCACAGTTGAGGCAAAGTCAGTAAAGCATTCGGATCATTAACTGCAGGGCTTGACAAAATCACGTCATTCGCACCGCTCAACGCAGTGCTCGAGTCGTCGAGTCGTCGAGTCACGTCCGGGCTCACTCCGCAATCGACTCAACATGACTCAACTCCTTGACCTCTGGCAGGAGTGATTTCCAATTTACACGAAGGCCGCCTCCAGCACTGTACTGTATGCAATGCGTGAAAGACAGCTTCGTTGCCTGCAATGCTACTAACGTGGGATAGTCTTCAGAAACACAACAAAACCCAGCCAAGGGAGAACAGCTACACATCGATATCATCGACAAGAATTACTATTATATCATGCACATCATACGTAGATTATACAGTATATCAATCTGTATCTCATATACCCCTGTGTGATCAGAAACACAAGAATGTAATGATATAGTTTCTGGTTTTGCCGCGTTTGGACACCCAAATTCCTTGTGCTACAAGCCGAGGTGGGCAAAAGGAGAGGCCCCCCACGTCGATCGTCTTTTTTGCTGTCTTTGAATATTGCAATAGTCTTGGCAAATAGAGACAGAATTCACCTTGCACTGTCTAAACTGTCAGAATTCGACGCAGTGACACTCTCTCTAAGTCCCTTCCTCACTCCAATGGCAGCGCTTTGCGTCCTGAAGCAGTGGGCCATCTGTATATAAGGGACTCTTATCTTGCCCCTCTAAGTCTACAAGAGTGTACAAGTCCCTCTAAGGACCAAGCCGCACACATTCCAGAAACTCCATTGTTCATGTCACAAATTGACCACAGAGGTTTCTTCACTCTCAGGAGCTAAGTACTACTAGGAGCAAGGAAGCTACTAGGAGCAAAGGGCATCGCTACTAGGAGCAAGGACGCTACTAGGGGCTCCTGGCCCTACTACCAGGAGCAAGGATGCTTAGGAGCAAAGGGCATCATTCATTGAAAAGCTTGGGCTCAAGCTGCTGACACCTCAAACCACCCGTGGGCTTCGTATGCCCACTACTGGGCCAGCGCGTCGAGGCCTCAGATTCGCATCTCCGGATGTGTTCAAGCGGATTTGGTTGCAAGAACAAAGCATGCATGCAATGCCATGCATGAGGAGCCCCTAGTAGCTTCTTGTTACTGGTAGTACGGCCAGGAGCCCCTAGTAGCGCCCTTGCTCCTAGTAGCGATGCCAGGAGCCCCTAGTAGCGTCCTTGCAAGAACAAAGAAGCATGAGAAAAACTACATGGCACCGAAATGGGAAACTCAATCAATATCTCTATGGGTTTTGGTGGATGAGAGCATAGCATAGCTACTGTTCTGGGCACCATGAAGGAGCGCGGTAGAATCTGGTAGATTGAGCCGTGGTGCAGAGTAGGGGAGACTACAGTTGGATTCAAACGAATTCCGAATGCGAGTGCTTCTTTAAACTGACATGGCACTCGCTCTGCGACAAACCTGAAAACGGTCCACGGTTCTTTGAAACAACCTTTTGGTGACTTTGACTTGGTCTCTTCCATCAGGCAGTTTGTTGGGAGTTATACAACTGCAGTCTCAGCCCTTGACTTGGCCGGCTTCCGATGCTGGAGCCTTGGGAAAAAAAGAAAACTCTTGTGAAAAAACTGATTTGTTTAAAATTAGGCTCAGGACTCAGGATGGCTTATGACTCATGACTCCCTACTGAAGAAACAGTTTCAAGCCCTGTCACGAGAGGACTTAGGGACCATGCTGTTTCCAATCAGGTGACTGGCTACTTGACAGTTGATGTCACTGCAATGCCGCGAGACACTAGGTTCTTCCATCATGTTGCCTTCTAGCTCACTCACTTTTGCTGCGCTCAAATGAATAGGCAAAACACCCATTCCATGTCTGTCATGGACCTGACTGCCAAGCCTGGGCAACTTTGGCACCTCTGACTGACCCAAGCCTCCACAGCAGAGTTATCATGCCAAAACCAACGCTGCACGTTCGTTCTTTTTCGTTGACCGGTGCTGCTTTCTCAAGCCGCTTTCACCTACATTTGGTCTTCTTCGCTTGTCATCTGAAGCAATCTGCCTAGAGTGATGTCTGACCAAAGAGGATCAATCTGACCAGCCCACCTCGCGCTGGTGCGGCGGCAGCTGCCCGCTTGGCGTTTGCCAAGACCAACTCTGGTATAAAAATGTCCTGCAGCTACAGGAGGAACGGAATGCCTCAAATAAATTGTATTAAATATATATAGACTGGATCGAGTTGATCAACAAAGGTCCTTCTCCACTTGCCATTGAAATGGATATTTGGCAGGTGAATCCGCACGAGACGCCTGCAAGGAGAAAGAATTCCTCTGTGGTGGCCCGGAGTTCTGTGACCCGGTCTTAGTCCGCTACCCTGTAACGACAGTGCTCAGACCTTTTAGACTACTGATTCTGTGAGAATGGACGCCTTGGGCGAAAGCGCAGCCGCCTGCCTGACATGTCAGAGCTGCTATGTAAAAATACTAGGCAGCAATGTTGCGGCAGCAAGGTGGTTTGCCTAAGCTATCGAGATATTGAGGAGGATCTTTTAGGTCCACAGTGTCAAGCTGCACCGTTACAAAATGGAGTTGCAACAAAAAATGCAGATATATATATATATATGAATCAAGTTACTGTGAAGAGTATCGATAATCTTGAAAGTTGCCTAGCTGCCTGCACTGTGTCCAGACTGAGAGTGGGATATGGAAAGAAGGGCAAGTAAAAAAACAGTGAGAATGTTGCTTGACTGGGAAGTGTTCGCAGCATTTGGCAGCAATCTCTGTGTAGCAGAATTCTCATGAATTCTCGGGGCACATTCCATTCAGTGGGGATTGGCGCTCTCTCGCACCATCAGGAACCAGCTTCTCTCAACAGCTCAATCCCACGCCATGCACGCCTATGTCTCAGTCGACCTTTCTGCTGCGGCCTTGTCTTTCTTCGCAGATTGGCCAAACGCTCCTGCAAGCGACATGTGGAGCACAGGGTCCGTGAGATTGGTTGTTTCTCTGTTCGGAACAAGGATGGTCTACTGAGTCTACTGTATTCAGTATTCGTCTGTACTCATCACTCCACTGAGTCTGGATTCCTTTGGGGGATGTTTAGTCTCGCGCGCCGGCTAGCCTCTCTAAGCTCGTCCCTTGGTGGTGCTTGAGCACCCCATGGACGTGGTGGCATGGGTGGCCTTGGTATCATGCGCAAGCCGCAAGGCGTTTTTGCAGCAACAGGAATCACATGGAATAAGCAGTGGGTCAGGATGGTATGAAGTGCTCGGAATCTTCTTGATGGCTTCACTGCCTGAATGGTTTTGTATGTTCTCATGAACCGTTCAAGTTCTCTAGCCTAGAGTGAGGACAAGGAAATTGATATTCTGAATTTCTCAAGAATGACGCATCCTTACAACATCGTGACTAGCTGACCTGACGGTGAGCTCTGTTTTCACTGCACCCACTCCCAGAAGAGCTTGTCATCTGCACCTGGATCGCAATTGCCGCGATGGCAACGGACTTGCCTGACGGCTCGCTTAAAAGAGGGCACCTGGATATATCTTCACTTTGGTAGCATGTGGTAGCATGATTCGCATCGTTTGATGCATGGAAGTCAGGATGCACGAAAAACCTCAAGCTCTTGAAAAAACATCTATGACTTGCATCTGTTTTCGTGCCTCTTTGCGTGCTGACAGTGGCACCGATGGTGGCGGCGACGGCACCGATGGCATCCAATCTGGAGAAGCTGAATAGGGTGAATACCTTGGCCATTTCCTACTGGAGAGTAAGTGTCCTTTTGTCGTTCCTTTTCTTTTCTTTAGTTCATGTTATTTCTCCAAGCTTTAGGCACTTTTACCGCATACCTGATTTGTTCCGTCCTTTAATTGTCTTTCCCTTTGCAAGAAAACAAACACATGTCATGTCAAAGCATGTTGTGCCCAGTATCCCAGGCTGCCAGTGACAAGAACAGATCCATTGGAAAACCGTCGAACATCTCTTGAATCATCGTAAATCACTTAAATTGATTGTACCACCTGCATGTCAGGGCCACCGCATGTCAGCTCTTTCCCATCAAAGTCATTCCCCAAGGCCTTTAGACCCTTTCGCGCATCCAGGTTCAACGATGCTTAACGCTTATGTACTTTGATTCTACTATTGGTGCATTTCTCCCTCCGCAAATTCTATCTCCAAGCTCTGTTGCATCTCTTCATGGCGAGCATTCCGCGGTGTCGGGACCACATCAACTTTCATTGCCTCAAGCTGACCAAGGACGCAAACTTGCTGATCATTCTCACCAACGAGAATACAGGAGGTCGTGCCTGTAACATGCTTGAAATATAGCCACAGTGTAAAGCAGGAGCCTTTAAGGAGTGCCGACAAACAATAATGTATGTACAGTATGTAGATATTTTACAAAAAGGTACGCAAAATCACGCAAGTAACTTCTATCCAGTCAGGTCGGGTTGGATGTTCTTGAGACTGAGATTACAAAGTCCCTAGAAGGCCACTCTGAGTGAGTCCATATTAAAAGGTTGCTGCAAGACCTTTGAAAGCATAATGAAACTTATGGTTGAATAAGTGGTAGAAATTGCACGCGCATGGTCAGAAATTGTTCGTACCTCTAACAAGCAAGTCCAGGTGGCTTGGAAACGGTATAACAACCATGGTAGACTGCTTGCTTAATCCCCGGTTGGCGGACAACTCAAATAAAATAGGATGGAACCCACGAACCCGAATGCACACATGTACGATAGGCAAGCAGCCAACAGCCAAACATAGCAAAACCTTGTCTGACACTCTTACTGTACCTAACACTCGTCAACGACACTCTTGACTCTCCACGGAGATTCTGAGGTGACAGTCTTCTACGACACTCATGCGACACTTTTGCTCGACACTGTGGCAGGTGGCACTCTTTTTCCAACACTCTTGTCGCACAATCTCGTTGGACACTCTTGTGGGATGCTATTGTTTCACACTCTTGTAGGACACTTCTGGGCACTCTTGTCGGACACTCTTGTAAGACACTCTTGTGGGACACTCTTGTAGGACACTCTTGTACGACACTTGTGCTTGATACTCTTTTGCGACACTCTTGCCACGCAATCTTGTGGGACACTCTTATAAGACACGTAATTTCACTTCACAGTGTGCCACAGACTAGATGCAACGGCAGAGCCTTATCATTCTCAGTCGAACGGCTGCTAACGGTTGCGAACGGTTGCAGACGGTTGCGAACAACCCATTAGCCTTGCCTAATGCTTCTCATTAACCATGGCTATGCAGAAGCTACTAGTAGCGTCCTTGCTACTAGTAGTAATGCACTTGTTACTAATAAATAGCGATGCCCTTGTTACTAGTAGCTTCTTGTTACTGGTAGTTATGCCCTTGTTCCTAGTAGCGATGCCCTTGTTACTAGTAGTTTAATACGAACAGGTCATCCACCTTCTCAATGCTTCTCCTACCCCTGCGATCCTGCGATCCTACGGTCTCTCACGAGTTTCTCGCCGGCCTCAATGGCCTGTTGGAGCCTTTGATGCAGGGATCCACCCTTCGTGGAGTCCTCAGCATCCGCCAGGAGACGCGCCAAAACCATACCTGCAGCCAAGCCATAGTCGTGAGATTTGTGAGATTGATGACTGAAACTGAGAAGGACAATCAGCCAACGCCGGCACAAAAAGGAACAAACCAAACTGATGCCCAAGAGACCCGCGACAAAGAGAAAGGCACAGTGCAAACGCAGGTTGGACCAGAACAAAAGTTGTCAATGGAGTATCAGCATCTTAACAGCGATCTCAGTGATCTCCTTTTCCGACCGTTCTGTGGCACAGCTGCACTGGGCTAATCTGAGTGTCTTCGAGCATGGTTGACATGATGACATGATCTCAATACTCATGTGGTCCTTCAAGTTTTGTTATCTTCTTCTATGCTTGTTCAAATCTTGAGAAATCAAGTTATATACAAGCTGTCCCAAACATGTGCCGCAGGCCTGCCATGAAGTGCTGACTCAGCGAGGAGATGTTCGCAGCTAAAAGGTCGGACTTCTCTGTGGTGATCGGCTGCTCTGGAAAGTGCAAGAGACAATCCAAAGCTCTCCGTCGCTCCTACGATGCACTGACCAAGCCAGAATTTACTCCCACAGCCAGGCTCGAAGGGTTTGCATATCAAACCTGTAGGCCCAAAGGAGGAAACTCAACGATCTGAAAAGCCCGTTGGAAGGTTCGCAAAATTCTGCAAAAAAAGAAACTAGTAGCCATGGACTCCAACCTACTAGCTTCTTGCTACTAGTAGCGTCTTGCTCCTAGTAGCGATGCCCTTTGTTACTAGGAACTTCTTGTTACTAGTAGTAGTGCAAGGAGCTACTAGTAGCTTCTTACTTCTAGTAGCGATGCCCGTTGTTACTAGTAGCTTCTTGTTACTGGTAGTAATGCCAGGAGCGATTAGTAGCTTCTTGCTTCTAGGTTGTTACTAGTAGCTTCTTGTTACTAGTAGTAATGCCAGGAGCTATTGGTAGCTTCTTGCTCCTACTAGCGATGCCAGTTGTTACTAGTAGCTTCTTGATACTCGTAGTTATGCCAGGAGCTACTGGTAGCTTCTTGCTCCTAGTAGCGATGCCCTTTGTTGCCAGTAATTAGCTTCTTGTTACTAGTAGTAATGCCAGGAGCTACTAGTAGCTTCTTGCTCCTACTAGCGATGCCCTTGTTACTAGTGCTTTTGCTTGACATGCAAATTGCTATACATCCTGAAAGACAGGGTCATCCGCATCAAGCGTGCCAGCGAAGACTTTCAAGAGAAAGTCGTGCCTGGGATGCACAAGGATCTCCATTAGATTCAAAGCGACTGATTCCAGTTCCACAGCGCAGCGCTGCGGAAAAAATACCTCTGCGATGCACTGACCTCTTGAAGCTCTCTGCAAGGCCAAGGAACACTGCAGGAAAAGTCCCATTGAAGACTTCCCGGGGCAACATCGTCAGCGTCCCTCCACTGCTCGGCCTCTGTGCAGTTCTTAGGGTGAATATAGGCTCAAATTGAGTCAAACTCTACTAACGAACTTGCCACGTTCTGCGTTTTGCTAAATGCATTTGTTTTTTTATCAATTCAATTAAGTACGGTACAATAATTAGAATAAATAGACATATCATATGATGCATAATTGCGTGCATCGTGATGCAGAATCAGAATATGATGTGAGGTAGTGTAATTGGTCTGCATGCTTGTCATCCAAGCCTGTTTTTGGTCCAAAGCTCTTTGGACTGGGGGCCAAAGGCTCTCCAGAGTGCCTTGTCATCTGAGTCCTCCTGGCAGGTCACTTACACAGGTCTAGCAAATGGTATCAGTAGCAAGTGTCAGCAAGTGCGAAACCACGTCCAAAATTAGTATTAGTATCGCTGCAATGGCTTGAACTGTACAAACTCTTCAGCACAATCATGCTGGCTGCTAGCTAAAGCTTCATTGATGCTGAGATAAAGTTCGTCAACCAGACACAACAAAACATGTGGTTAAAAAGTTGCTGATCATTCCCTGGAAGCCAAGTGTGTGCATATCTCCCCCTGCTCTTCATCTCTCAAGATTCTCTGTCCTCCCATTCTTGGTCCCGCTACTCTAGAGGAATCGAGTGACCCAAACACAAAGGACAAGAGATTGCACCAGAAGTGAGCAAACAATACAGGCTAGTAACTAGGCTAGGACCCTAGGCAAGCCAAGCCAAACAACTTCGAGAACGCCAACAGGGAAAGCCTCATCAAGACCTTTTAAGTCCTTAGAGGATAAGCAAAAAATGATGAAAGAAACCATTTGCCGTGAATTCGATCCTACACGTATAATACCGATCCTAGCCATGCATCAAACGGTATGAGTCTTGCAATGAAAACTCCATCCACGATAGCTGCGAGTGGGCCTCTTCGCTGGGAGGAGCTTCCAGGTCTGTGGTTGATTGCTGTGCCACATCACGCTCCGTGTCCTTCCCATGCGACTTTCACCAAGCCATTTCCATTGGCAATGTCTACAGTCTCTAGTGTACTTGTTTTTTCTAAAACTGCCCAACTGTGCCCTTATGCATCTGTCCTACAACACGGGCCCGGCACGGGCCCCATCCGCGCCTCCTTTTTGCGAGAGTAATCGATGTCCTCCGCAGGAGCTTCTTCGTCTGAAGCAACCTCCGAGCTGCTGATTTCATAAATAAATGGATGGGCAAATATTGGACCCGACAAAATATCAGCAAAACAAATTAAGCACATCAGCTTGACTTGTATCATATATATATATATATTATACATATTATGTGGGTTTGTCTAAAGTGGTTGCAAACATGTTGTGCCGACTGCGCTCATTCCTGCCTAGCACGGAACATTCTCTACAGCGTGTTGCAAATGGATTCTGTGGATATCTTTTTGCGGCGTTGTGCTAAACAACAGCAATCTTAATGGACAACACAAGCAAATGTGCTTGTATCCATGACCAATCAGAACGCAATGATAGCTAAGGGTGGCTACTGCTCAACGTCCCATGGATTCCCAGCCAAAACAGCACCTTTGGCCCTTATTTTGGTGAACATCTGCAGTGTTTGGACTACAGATCATTTGCATTCTTGAACTTTGCACGCAAATGGCACGTGGACCTGCCTGAAAGCCCTCCAGTTCTTGGCACATGCTGTCAACGATCTTCTGACCTCGGCAAACACTTCTTAAACCGATGGGTCCCCCACCGGCCAACAAAGAAACCAAGATATTGATGCCGCCGCACCAACTCCGAAATCAAAATTAAAAGTAAAACTCCGGCCTGCAGGACCCTCACTGTTCAAAGTCATGTCGCGACTCGTCCGCCTGCAAAAGTCCAAACATTGGTGACGCTCCCGGCTGATCCGCCCAAAGAGGTCGCTGATTCGGGGACCGTGTCTGCTTATTCGACGGTATTGTAGTTTTCTCAATCTCACACTGTCGAATTCGACCTCTCACGAAGAAACCTGAGCGATTCCTGAGCGATTGTTTTATATGTTTTCTTTTCTTTCTTTAGGCCGGCCGCTCCTACTTAATTAAGTAGGCGCCTACTTATATAAGTAAGTAAAGGCGACTAGTTAGCTTCTAGGTAGGGCGCAGGATAGCTCACGCTATCATGCAGTTCCTAGATTTTGTGGGAAACGTGTTAAGTGCCAAGCACTTGAGGTGCAGCCAATGCTGAAGTGCTTCTGGCCTTCGTGTTGACACCTCGCCGATGTAAGCCACAAAGTCTTGGAAGGAGATGCTCTGCTTGCCTTGCTTAGAGGGCACATCGCATCAAGTCTGTCAACTCACCACATGCGGGGTATCCAAAGGTAACCAAGGTTTTGTCAACTGCTTGGCTCCGACAAGCCCACTGAGGTACCTCCAGCAATCTCCTCCATCACATCATCCACAGTTTGACCGTTTGGCAACACCTCAACCAATGGCCCTTCTCCTGACGCAGGCATGCAAGGATGTTCTGGATATTTGTAGTAGGTCCCTGGTAGGTCATTTTGCGGTTGGAGTGAAAGCATTGACAAATGAACGCACAGAAAACAAACGACGAGGTTGAGGAATGGAAACATGCCAAGCAGCTGCTCACTTTGCAGGTACAAAATTCACGCTTATCGTCACTTATCCAAGAAATGAACTTGTATATATATATAATATATTGGGGGGTCCCTGAATTAGTAGGTTTATTAGTCATAGTGGGGGATCCTGTGTTTGGTTTGTCCCATGTTTACTGGCGAAACACGAGTGTATCATCATGACACCCCTTTCCCTGTCCTGAGAGCATCACGCGAAGCTCTGAAAGCGAGATTTGCCCGTCGCCATCAACATCAAAGACATCAAAGGCCTCCTGAACCATCGACTCTGGCAAGGTCTCGGAAGTGGATAGCACCTGGTCAAGGCAGATTCGGTCCTTTGAGCAAGGGACCCGGTTTGGGTAGTAGAAATCCTTCATGCGAGAAACAAGGCGGGATCTTGAGGGACGAAGACATCTTCGTCGTCCTCAGTCACCTGTGAGGTATACATTATCATCCACCTGTGAGGTATACATTATCATGCACATGGAGTTCTTGTTTCTTGTGCCAAGACACTGCTGCCAAAAACTCGGTATACCTCAGCATCTGCTCCTCTCATGGTCCAAACAAATGTTCGACGCTGTTGCCAATACTGCCTTGTGCAACTTGGTATGGATCCTCTCGTCTTCGACTGCTTCCGGGTTTCAAGGGCCAAGTTGCGAGATGCGACCATTTTGGTCCATGTCCAAAATGCTCATCAAGCGCTGAGGATCCTGTGAAAAAAGGAGTCCCACATCTGCCCAAAAAGATTTGGCATCGCACAAACTAGAAACTCTATATAATAACAATGTCCAAGTTCGCAATGCTGCAATGCACAGGACCAAATTGGTTTGGTAGTGGAGTTCAAAAACTTTGGGGAGACAATATGTTGGTAATCCCATAGAACTGTGATCTGGAAACATGTTGTGCAGTTTGAAAACCCTCATGTTAAGACATTTTTGTCTGCGGCGTCGCACTTGGTCTTCGCAAACGTTGAAAGAAAACGATGTCCTTTCGACCAAGAAATCTGCCTCACTTGGTCAGCTCCTTGAGCTCCCCAGGTGTTGGGCAAGGCTTAAACTTTTCATCCTTCCCGAAGGTGAACTTGCAGGCAGCCTTGCCAGCCACGCGACCAAAGACCACGCAGTCTAGCAAGGAATTGCCACCCAAACGGTTGTTTCCATGGATGCCACCAGCCGCCTCACCCGCCACGTAAAGTCCAGGGATCACCTTTCCCGACTTGTCGATACACTCGGCATCCACGGTGCATTCCAAACCACCCATGCAGTAGTGAATGACCTCAGAAGCGACTCCACTCCATCATCTGTCTAGTTCAGCAATCCTTGAAACCCTAAAGAGTTGCTGTTCAAAAATCCGTGTGTTGCTGCTTAATGGCTGCTTAATCGGTTCCAAGTGTTCGCTGCTTAATCGGTCTCACTGTTCGCTCGCCTTTTCTGAGACCGATCCAAAACTATTTCATGATTCAGTTACTATCGCTCGTCCCGGTTCCCAACCCAGACCCATAAGGCAACACACAGCCAATGAGCGCTCGTAGAACACAAGTTCAACAATTGTTAGGCTATAGAAAAGGTGTTTTCCTTGGGTTTGTGTTTGGTTCGGCAAGCTTGGACCTACTTTTATTGTAGCTATTGTCTCTTCCATTTTGTCCCTTAGCTGATATGCTGTTGAAGCCTTCAGGTGGTCCAGGTCTCAGGCTCCACTGGAATCAAATACCTGATGAAGGGTCATGAAGGAGGAAAACTAGATGAACCAAACACAAGCTCAAGAGAATAATGTGTTGGACATGTTGATGAGTCAAAGAATCTCTGTAGCTTTCAAGAGGCAAAGGCTTCCCCACGGCTTCCACCAAAGAGACTCACTGCCGGATGGGTCTGGGTTGGGAATCATGATAACCTGTGAAAGTGAAACTATAACGGAATATGACACATTATAAGATAATATTATGACATGATCCATCAAACACATGGACAAATGATTGGCCAAGCAACCCTTAGCATGAAACAACATTGGGATTATGTTCACAGAAAAGAAAGAATTACATCTAATTACCATGATCATGATGCTGTATCATCAAGCTACTGGAGTAATTATCGCAACATAGAAGGGCTCGGTGGCCACCTTGGAGCCGTCAATGATGTTGTGGAAAAACTTCTTGCCACTGCCGGTCTTGCCACTTGGCTCGTCCCAGGTCTTGCCGGATGGATAAGCAGGGAGGGGGCCACCATCAGGATCCTTCTCCTGGTGAAAACATCACTAAGGTCAAAACTATGAATGAAATGACACGGATGTGGTGGATCTCAGCAATTCCAAGGGCGAAGCAAATCCTGTTTATCCTTTGCACCGCATGGGCGTGTGATGGGATCTCAGAAGGCTCTGGCACCACTGAGCTTGATCAGCCTACTGAACTAAACAAGTGTTCTGCTGCAGATTAATTACTGCCCCGCAATGAATAGAAGTGCACCGCAAAATCTACAGTATGTCAAGGCAGGCCTTAATGATATGTGAACTTGAACAAAACATGGCAACTATTTGACGCACGCATGCAACTACTCCACCCTGGTTCGTCTCCTGCTTCTTGGCAGCTTCATAGTGCTTCTGATGAGTGTCAATCAAGGTCTGCAAAGGCACGCCCATGTCTTTGGCAAGGTCTTCTCCCGAAGGGTAGAACTTCATCACACCACGTCCAGTGTAGTGCTTGGCATGCCAGATGATCTCATCTGCTGCGGCCCTATTGAGGCACAATCGGAAGGGTGGTTTGTTCTTCCACATCTCCCCCGTGACGTAGTCACGACGGCCCAGCTCGTTGCAGAAGCGCTGGCCGTTGGCGTCCAGGACGAGGCCGCCGACGCCGCGCAAGGCCTCGGCCGCCAAGAACTTCACTTTGGCATCCGGATCGTCGGGCTTCACCAAACCAGTCGGATGCACCTGACTGGGTTGGATGATTGGATGCTTTATCGTGATTTGATCTTGTGGCCGGGGTATTATCTTTTGTGTTGTGTCATGGTGTTTGAACAAATTTTCTTTAGAACATGCTTTATAATGTTTTATCTAAATGATGTTCTGGATTCTTCGTTTTGGGCGTCTTTCCCTAAGCCCCGGCACCTGAACCCATTCCAAATCAATGGTGGCGGCGCCAATGGCCTCCCCCATCTTGATGGCATCACCAGTGCAATGCTCTCCGTTTGTGGTGGGCAAGTGCAAAAGATCAGGTCGGTAGGTGGCCAGTAAAGAGTCAGATCCGAAGTCTGCACCAAAGCCACCAGAAGCCAAGACCATGGGGCCGAACTCCTTGGTGACCTTTCCGGCTTTTCGGTACTCACAACCCACCACTGACCGACCACTCTGGACCAACTTGAAGACTTCAGCCTTGGTGATGATACGGGCACGATTGGTCTTCTCTGCCACCTTCTCCAACATCTGAATCAAGGCGTAGGTGATGGTCATGCCTGGGAAGCGCTCTTTGCCACGGTGGGTGCGTGGTTGCGAATGTCCACCTAGACGTGCTACCAAGGAGAGGTCAAGGTCGAACTTGTCTACCAGCCAGTCCACGTCAGCAGCACTGTTGGCACCTAAACTAAAGACTCCTGCAACACACATAACACGAAGCAGTTAATAAGCACATCCATAGCATCAAATTTAAGACAGTTGTTGAGAGCCACCACAGTGTTGTCATACACACAGAAGATGGCAATATATAACTGGGGCTCCAACAAAGAACCTTGGCCAATTCGGGCTTCTTGGCACCACCCTTCAGGGTATCTGCGATGAAGATCTCCTGGTTGGTGTTTTTCAGCCCACTTGAAAAATATTAGTCAAAGGGTCCAATCATCCCCAAGTAAGGGTTGAAAACAAAAATATCCGAAACCATCACCTAGTCTCTGCGTTGTCGGGGATGGACTTACCTTTCTGAGTCTTGGTGCCTGCGCCATTGATGCCACTGGTGGCCTTGGTACTGTTGCCACCGCAAAAGGAGGACTTGTCCAAGAGCAAGGAGCGGCCGCCATTCTCGACCACAGTGTTGGCTGCTGACATGCCCGCCAAGCCACCACCCACCACAATCACCTGATTGGCTGGAAACACCGCCGCCATACTGAGATGATAGACAATGCGTCTCGAAAGGACGAGTGACGCGAAAAAGAGCCAAAATGTCTGCAAGGGAAGGTGCTGAAACAGTCATGCAAGAATCCATGAAAGCTCTCTTTGCAAAGAACCTAGATATGTCATGTCGATATTCCACCTCACATGTGTCCAAAGACTCCCAAAGCCTCTCGACCCACAAGCAGCCACTCCTCTGTGATGTTCAACTGTTGCAAGGCTAGGCGGAACTCTTCAAAGTCCAAATTCCCCGACCTCAGCAGGAACTGAATTTCTCCATCAGGCTCAGAATTCAGTTCCTGAAAAACTTGTGATCAGATTTCTATCAACTGAGCTCTAGAACTTGAGGTATCTATATAACTATAACTAAATGCAGTATGAAAAAGGCGACATTGCAGAAGCCCACAGGAGCCCATGAAGACTGCATATTACTACGCTGTAGCAGGCTGCGGGAATCAGTAGTTCCCCGATGCAACACGTACACAAAGCAGCATTACACAAGCAGGCTATTGTCGGCTAACGTGGATCAAGTGGTTTCGACAAAATCAGTCGCCACCCAACAGTGCTTGTTTGTTTTTACAACCTTACTTGACAAAGTGTACGTCAGAAGTGGAAGCACGTTGACGCTCCTTCCAAAAAGGAATTTGTCAATGTCCACGCACTTTCTTGACAATCCGAAAGCTTTCTAACCGTCCTCCACAAGCCAAGATGCCTGTCTTTGTCGATGGACTGAAACACCTGCCATGAGTATATACTGAGAAAACCTACGAGGAATCTTGTCAAAACAAGATTGCCCTTTGATCCAACAAACGACTTAGTGGACTTGCATCATTGATGTGTTCACTTAGTCTCGCTTTGCACCAATCCACACGCCCATCCTGGAAGACTCCGTGCATGTCCTTCATGCTCAGCCCTGTTGCAACGGCAAACATTGCCTCACTCGAAACAGTTCTAAACATCTCAAAACCATTCACCAAATTCTGTCCGGCAAATGTTCACCCTCTACCCTTGCCCGGGTTGGAATTAAAGACCCGTAAGCCGAAGTATTGTTCTTCCAGGGCCTAAGCCCTTGTGGAAGCAATAGGAAGTACAGTAGTTCTAAAGCTTTGCTTTTCAACCTTTGCTGGTTGTCTTCAGTCCGCTCTCAGCCCCAAACGATCTGATGAAAGCAATTGGCGCTGCCAAGGCTGTCAATCTTTACCCGCCTGGAGACGTTTCAGCCAGCATGAATTAGCTGAGTCATATGTGAAGTGCATATATACAGTAACACACCTGGCAGAGCACAGGCCTGGCAGAGACATCTGGAGGCTGTAGTTCCAGTTCTGTCTGGGCGAACCATGCAAGGCTGCGGCACTCCTCCGGGCGGAGGAGTAGATGCCATGACTAGTGTCGGGCATCGCAAGTTATATACAAGTTCTGTGCTAATTCCCCGACTCTTCTGAAAAAAGCCACAAGTGGGCAGGTCGTCCATCTTCAGCATCATTGAATCAAATTCAATTATATTCAATCAAGACAGTATCTTCTTGCATCCACATCGGGCTTCCTGGGCTGTGAGTCGCGCAATAGGATCCTCAGCTTGGTTGCCCAACTCTGGACCCAAAGACCTTAAGACAGCATTCTTCCTGAAGAGAATTCAAAAAGAGACAAAAAAGCGAAGGTAAGGGCCCCTCTAATCACGTCTCTTTAAAGGTGCACTTGTTGTGGGGCCATGACCCTCGTTTGTGCGGTTGTGTCATTGCATGTCTCCAGTGGAAACCTGGCGGGTTCCACAGATTTCGGATGGAGATATACCTGGAGAACGTTGGATTCTACCAAGGCTTGCGGCCTTTGCGGCTCAAGCCAGTCCCCCTTCCCCCCCAAACAAAATGCATTGTAATATTCACTCTGAAGATTTGATCCACGGCATACACATCATGTCCCCTCGTATCACCATTCTATCACCCTCAATCAACTGCCACCTGGTAGGTTTGCAATGTTTAGGAAAACAACTTTTGTAACTAAGATACAAGTACTACTAATGCAAAGCTAGGCTCTTTGTTCAGAAGGCCTTGGACTACTTCAGCTGCCAGTGTACTCAGCCCATCCAGAGACGCTTCGTGCTGGGCAACCTCAGTGTGTCATTCTTGCAGCACATGACATAAAGGATCAAGCTGTTCGAGCAGATTGCGATTAAAAGCTTATTCCACATGAAAACCTCCGGAGGACCAAGCAATCCAACTCTGCATCGGAAAGATTGATAATTTGGTGGCATTTTCTCGGTCACACAACCAACTTCAACTTTGAAAGAAGGGGCTCTCTACGAGCTCATTGCTTCAAAGCACCTAGGCTATGTTCTACACTGAGTGGCCTTCATACTATCACCAGCCTAGGACATGTATTCAATTGTACTATATTGTATTGATGCGCCAGCAATCAAGTATCAAGACCTCAATGAATGTCTAGAGTTCCCCATCCGAAGTAAAATCAAGCATAGCCGGGCGCATGAATAAGATTTGTGGTTTCAAGCTGGGTTCCAAGGTTGCATAGCATCACAGTGGCCAGCATGTTTGTCTCCCGGTCCTAAGACCTCTGCGTTTCGGTGGACTTCAAAGACTTGTCTCACTCTGCGGTGTGGAGTGCCCGGCCTTTAACCAAAGCACTGCGATGTTGTCGCCCTGCAGCAGGCCGACGAGTCCCAAAGCCCATTCATATCGTTCAACAATGACCGACCACCAATGGCCCAGTTCAACTATCCGGTGCTTCCCAGCACCGTCGGTTCGTTCGCCATTATGTGCCTGTGCGACCAAGCTGGAGTTGCGAGTGGTTTGTAGCAGCCCAGCTCTCCAGATGATGCTACGGTACGTTGTTGTTGTTGTTGTTGCTGTTGTTTTTGTTGTTGTTGTTGTTGTTGTTGTTGTTGTTGTTGTTGTTGTTGTTGTTG